AGCAGGCTTGAAGGGCTGAATGGCCTCCTCCTGCTCCTATCTTCTATGTTTCTATAAAACCCAACAAGACTACCAAAGTGACCATTTTTTGACTGACTGCTACTCAAGACAAAAGCAATTCACAACAGGTTTTCTTCAGTTACAGTAAAGCAAACACTCAATTGATCATAAAACACTCAACTTGAATAATATCAGCGAAAAGAAAGGTTTTCTAATTTATGTAACTTAACCATACCTTTTCAAAACTCCAAATAAATACACTCAATCACAGTTAAGGTAAACAAAGACAAATGGTTTAAGGTACATGCTATGGATGGAAAAATAATGTAGACAAGGTAAACAAAATTCTGAAGATCAAAAGTCCAGACCACAAAGTGCAACCTTATTTCTCCTCTCACTCTTTTTGACTTTTGCAATGATAATATGTTGTTGTCTGTAGAGTTAAGGTGGTCATTCGATTTAATTGCGATCAGGCGAATGAAGGAATGTTCTTGTATGAATTATTCCTTTTGAGATTTCTTGGATTTTCTGTCTTTTTCCCGGAAAGAGACAGAAACAGCAAGAATGCAAGAAAGATAGTGTGCGAGACAGCACACAAGAGAATGAGAGAGAGAGACCAAGATAGATGCTTTCTGTCTGCCCTCTCTGGATATTTCTTCCACTCTTTGCTCGTCTTGGTACCTATGGCTTTTTAGCACTTTGCAGCTCAACCAGAAGGCTGTTGTCAGGTAGAGTTTCCTTAAATCAAAACATTCCCTGTGCTGTTCAGTATCAAATTTTCCCTCTTAGTGCTTCCAAAAAGCAATTTTGTATTGTACAGCTCAATAAAATGGAACATTAATTTTTAAACTTGCAAAACTCTTTCTTTCAGTTATAGCAGTCCAACGTGCATTTCAGTTTACAGTTTCAAAAAAATTGAAAATTATTTGGTTTCTTACAAAGTTCAAATCACAGGCTCAAGCTTAGGCATTCTTTAGAAAGAACATTTTGATAGTTTTGGCTTTATTATGAAGGAGTGAAGCACTTAATAAGTACTGTACATGATCTGGTTGGTTAAGTTAGGACTGACATTATTACAGGCATTAACTTGTCTACAGTCTAGTAAAAAATACTGGTACCAATGGGTTGTTGAAAACACAATATTTGAACATTTACTGAACAGGATTTGTTTGTGAACTGGATGTAACAAAAGGTTTCGGGAACATGAGCTGTGCCAAAGTCAAACATTGCAGCAATTTTTAACTCCTGAAAAGCATTGTTCATAAATAGCTCAAAGACTCATGAGTGAGGAGGAAAATGCTATCAAAAAATTCCTGTGTTTCTTTACGCCTTTTGAAAAATATAACTTTTAAGTAGCATGATTTCAGCATCTACCAATGTGCTTCACTGATCAGAATATCAGAAAATAAAAGAATGAATTTAAAAGTCCAGTAAATTATGATGCAGTTTTAGCACATTGGTTTCTTTGGAACTTTTATTAAAACTAACTTAAGATGCAATTGTGTCTCAATTGTTCACACAGCTATCAAATATGGTAAAACCAAATACGATTGACTAAAAATTAATGGCTCAGATTATCTACTTTCTTGGCATTTTATAAAATTAGAGGAAGTTTTTATTTAATATTGAAGCGAGCCTGGCCATTTCTACCCATTTGCAAAAGACTACGCATTTACTAATTGAGAAGTGAAATATGACGCATAATTCTGAGACCAACAGTGCACTACAATTTTGACATTAGAGTATGTATTTCATGTTTGTCAAGATGAATCTTGACAATTTTTATTTTGCAAGTCTTTTGCAGTCACAGAAGCCTCAACCTGTTAATATTTGAAAACCAATATTTTCTGATTAATTTCATTTGCATCTATTCTTACATTCTTAGCTGGCATTTCTTAACATTCTTACTCAGCTATTGAATAAGTTGCTCTGACTGAAGCATTCTTCTGACAATTATATGACCTCACCGTTAAAAACAGTCAAATGTAATTTGCTCCACAAATCTTTTAATCAGCTAACAGACCAACTGAATTTGAAAATTATGATGACGGTCACAAATCTTATCCCAATCAATGTAAGACTGGCTGGCTGATAACTGATGGTAATGGCACAATCAAGCATAATACAGCAACTGACTATTCATGCAATCTCAACAAAGGAGGACAAGTCAGTTTAACCAAAACTGCAATGACACCTCTTTCAATTTTATTTGGAAACACGTATGAGAAAAACTTTTGCAGTGATAGCAAACATTGAAGATAAGATAGTTTTAGATGCATTATGACAGCTACTTGTTCACACATTTGATGCTTGAAGCGTTGTCATCGTATTTAATTAAAATGGTGGTCCACTGACCATACATGACTGCAGCAATTTTCTCTTAGCAATATCAGATTAGTGGTATAAGCAGTTACGTTGCAACTCCAGATCAACCAAGAAAGCTATTTACTAAGTTAAGCCAAATACAACAGTAACTGACTCAGCCTGCGAATTGTGAATAAGAACAAAACTAACAATACCAACACTGCATTTTGCAGAATGAATGAGAGCATTTCAACCAAAATAAAAATTCAGTGAATAGAACAAACATTTCTAAAACAATACTGGTGAAGTAAAATGTCCCAAAATAACTCACAGCAGTATTACCCAAACAAATTTGACACCAAGCCACATAAAGCAGCATTAAACAGCTGATCAAAAGCTTAATCAAATGAATATGTTTTAAGAAACATGGGTTGCTGAAGTGAAGGACAGCAGATTTATGAAGTGAGTTTGAAAACATTGTTAAGAATTTTAAAATGAAGGCATTTCCAGACTGCGAGCCAACATAGGTAAGTGAGCACAGTAATAAAGAGTAAATAGAAATTGGACATAGTAGGGGAATAGAGCTTTTGATGAATTCAAGTATACTGAAGGTGGAAGATGGGAGGCTAGCCAAGACAGCACTGAAATAGTCAAATCCAAAAGTAAAAAAGGTGTGGTTAAGAAGTTCAACCACAGATGAGCAGAATCTGGGGTTAAAGACAATGGCTTCACTCTTCTCGATATTTAGTTGCAGGAAATTTCTGCTCACCCAGTACTTGATGGTGGAAAATCAGCGTGACAAAATAGATACAAAGGAGATGTATTAAGAGATAATGTGTGGTAGGGATGGAAGTTGCTAACAGACATGCAGAATCTTAGTTCATTTCTTTGGGGTAACAAGGTGTAGAGCTGGATGAACACAGCAGGCCAAGCAGCATCAGAGGAGCAGGAAAGCTGACGTTTCGGGTCGAGACCCTTCTTCAGAAATGGGGGAGGGGAAGGGGGTTCTGAAATAAATAGGGAGAGAGGGGGAGGCGGATAGAAGATGGATGAAGGAGAAGATAGGTGGAGAGGAGACAGACAGGTCAAAGAGGCGGGGATGGGGCCAGTAAAGGTGAGTGTAGGTGGGGAGTTAGGGAGGGGATAGGTCAGTCCAGGGAGGACGGACAGGTCAAGGAGGCGGGATGAGGCTAGTGGGTAGGAGATGGGGGTGGGGCTTGAGGTGGGAGGAATGGTTAGGGAGGTGGGGACGAGATGGGCTGGTTTTGGGATGCGGTAGGGGGAGGGGAGATTTTGAAGCTTGTGAAGTCCACATTGATACCATTGGGCTGCAGGGTTCCCAAGTGAAATATGAGATGCTGTTCCTGCAACCTTCGGGTAGCATTGTCGTGGCACTGCAGGAGGCCCAGGATGGACAGGTCGTCCAAGGAATGGGAGGGGGAGTTGAAATGGTTCGCGACTGGGAGGTGCAGTTGTTTATTGCGAACCGAGCGTAGGTGTTCTGCAAAGCAGTCCCCGAGCCTCCGCTTGGTTTCCCCGATGTAGAGGAGGCCACAACGGGAACAGCGGATGGAGTATACCACATTGGCAGATGTGCAGGTGAACATCTGTTTGATGTGGAAGGTCTTCTTGGGGCCTGGGATGGGGGTGAGGGAGGAGGTGTAGGGGCAGGTGTAGCACTTGCTCTGGTTGCAGGGAAACGTGCCGGGTGTGGTGGGGCTGGAGGGGAGTGTGGAGTGGACAAGGGAGTCACGGAGAGAGCGGTCCCTCCGGAAAGCAGATAAGGGTGGGGAGGGAAAAATGTCTTTGGTAGTGGGGTCAGATTGCAGATGGCGGAAGTGTCGGAGGATGATGCGTTGGATTCGGAGTTTGGTGGGGTGGTACGTGAGGACGAGGGGGATTCTGTTTGGTTATTATTGCGGGGAGGGGGTGTGAGGAATGAGTTGCGGGAAACACGAGAGACACGGTCGAGGGCATTTTCGATCACTGTGGAGGGGAAGTTGCGGTCCTTGAAAAACGAGGACATCTGGGATGTCCATGAGTGGAATGCCTCATCTCAGGAGCAGATGCGGCGGAGGCGAAGGAATTGGGAATAGGGGATGGCCTTTTTGCAGGAAGGTGGATGAGAGGAGGTGTATTCTAGGTAGCTGTGGGTATGTCTTTGAGGTGTACATTCAGATGAGAAATAGGAAGGGGTGAACAAAAGATCCTTGGGGTCACCAAAGGCAAATAGTATAAGAACAAAAAGAAAGAGCATTGTAGCTCTTTTTTTCCTGTCCACAATTAGAATTGAAAGGGGGAGCAGGTGGAGTGGGTTTTATGGACAAGAATAGCTTAGAGATGATATGTTGAGATACATGGAGGAACTAGAGGATTATGCAAGAAAAATACAAGGTTGGGTGAAGAACTTTCAGGGAAATTTGACCCAATTGACTAAGGAAGGGAAGCAGAAGTGACAGTTGAATAGATTGTCTCAATCTTAGTGACCAAAGCATGCATGATCTCTCATTTTCGCTGCACTATGAATTACTAGTAGAATAAAACTGAAAAAATATTTTATCACAATCAAGAAACTATTGTAAATTTCACCTCCAATCAAAACTGAACTATTCTTGTCAAGCACTTTTCATTCCTTGAAGTGAAATCTATAAAAAAGTTAATCTGATTAAGAGAAATAATTTTCAATTCGAACTTACTTCATCTCTAGCACTTCTTCCAGCTGCTTTCTCCGTTCTATCCGTAAATTAGCGAGGTGTGCCTCCCTCTCAGCAAGAGATTGTTGTGTTGAGGTTAGCCTGACCTTGGTGGAATCCAGTTCTTGTCTTGTCTTCTCCAGAGTGGTCATCAATTCTTCTAACTGTCAAGTAAAAGCACAGCAAGACTTCAAATAACCTCTTAAATTTACGAATTAGAAATTGCTCTGTGGTCTTCACCAAAAGCAATGATGCCATGACATTTGGTGATCTTAAATTTGAGTGTGTTTAACTGTTCAGCCTGGTATAATTTGTTTGCAGATAAGTGAAGTTCTATAACTTTTCTCAACTGACCTCATTTTTATTTTAGCTTAACTACATTTAAATCTTAGTCATTGAGATAATAGCAATTTCAGAAAGACATTGAGACAGTTATTTAAAAATGGCAACAGGTCACTGACTGCTGACAAGGTCTCCTTTGTAATTAATGTTGTGTGAGAGAATATGGTGTTTTATAAATGAAGGAGAATTTATGATTTACGAGAAATGGATTGTGCTATTAAAATGTAGCTCTGTGCAGTTTGCTGCACATTAAATTAAAGCTACAAAGTGTAATGCTCTGCATTGTCTAAAACAATGAATGAGTCTGGCTATCTTATACTTTTTAAATTATGGGGCGCATAGATTTGAGTACTTGATCCCTCAACTGTGACAGAAATAAATTAATATTGCCTGACTAAATCCTATTTAAAACATTCAAGATCAGAATTCTCTCATTGGATCATAAATAGATAGCCTTCTGTATAAAGACTATCACAGCTCTTTCACTCACAGTACCCAAAAAAAGATTGTGCACTATGCCAAATTAGCATATATTCCAAACCTATGGTGGTGGAGGGAGGGAGCAATTAGACTTTGTGCAATAATACAATCAATTACTTTGCTGCAGAGTTATAATGGTCTTTTATTTTTCTGAATTAAAAGTAGCCCGAATTTTCCAATAAGCATCAACATTGTCAGCGACGCATTTGAAAGTACTTGGTTCCTATGACATTAAAATATTGGTTGTTGAAAAATAAAAAAAAATGCATGTACAAACATAGGCTTTAACGATATAATAGTGACATACAATATATGTTTTTGTAAAAGGGCACCAAATTCACATCACTACTATATAGGTTACTTTTTAGCTCTATTGGTAGTATCTCTATTATCTTTCACAATCAGTGAGTACATCCTATTTGCTATACTTGGGATTTTTAATCACAACACAACACAACACAAGAAAGCAATTGATATCAGCTAGCTGTAAGTTTTGAAGACAATGAAATTCGCATTATTTCAGTAATTTAATATAACTTTTTCCTCCAACTTAAATATAGTTGCTAAAGCACTGAACAATACATTTTTACTTTCTTAGATAGTTGCCCAGTATTTAATGTTTGGAGGCGGGCCCATCAATACCACCGTAAGGAGGAGTGTGGGTATAGTTGGATTTTTTTCCATCTTTGTACCAGTTTTGTTCAACTGTCAAGAGGTTTGAAGAGAAATGGCTTGGATCTCATGAAAAGCTGTGGTTTGATCATAACAAGATCAACAGGTCAATCTGGAGCTACCTGCTTTTTAGTTAAGGATGAGCAATCTTAGCTAGGATGATTAGAGCTGAAATTAAACTGAATTATTCAGGTGCTGGAATCCACTTCCTTATTTAAGTGATTGCCACACATAGCAACACATAGTTGGGGGATTGGGGGATGGGGACACAAATTATTTTCAGTCTGCATAAGCATGGTGCATTTTCGTGTAATGGACTGAGGAAGGCATGGACCCTAAAGAGGGTGAGAGGCTAGTCTGTTTAACCGAGCCTCTAGCTTTTAAAGGCAGTCTGTTTGAGATTGTAGACATATTCGCCAAGCCGGTGTGTTTGATTGCAAACGCTTCGTCAACCTGCTGGGTAACATCGTCAGTGCGCCTCCTGTGAGGCATTGGTGTTCTGTCCCACTTGTTATTTATATGCCTCGGTTTGCTGGGGTGGTTGGTATTACTTTCGGTGTAGTGTTTCTCACAGTCTTTGCATGGTATGTTGTATATTACCTTGGTTTTGGGTATGGGATCCTTTACATTCGCCAGTAGATGTCGTAGAGTGGTTGTCGGTTTGAGACTCCTCTGATACCTAGGGGTCTGAGTAGTCTTGCGGTCATCTCTGACATGTCCTTGATGTGTGGTAGGGTGATTAGTGAGTCTGGCCGTGTTGTCTCTTCCTGTTGTGGTCTGTCTTGGAGGTAATGGCAGATTGTGCTTTTCGGCTACGTACAAGAGCCAAGGGAAACCACAAGAGTGAGTAGTTAATTCCCATTTGTACAACTGGATGTGCTTTAGAATAAAATGTTATGGAAGATTTTAAAATGGTGATTTTTTTTTGTTTGATAGCCACTGAAGGGATGAACGCCCTCAAAGGATGCAATAGTGGACATCAGTATCCATTCTGACATGAGGAAATTATTTCACTGAAACTAAAGCCTGATCGACCAATTTCTCTCAGCTCCTCTGTTACAATGGATCTGGAATGCCTTTTTCCCCATTAACTATTTTGCCTCCTCATCTCTACTGAGAAAACCTTTGGATTTCTACATCAATGGTAATTTTTTGAAGGACATAGCAGATCACCAGAAACTTCAAGACCCACTCTGGTGTGTACTGCAGCGCTTCCAAAACAATGGTCTCAAGATATTGTTTGAGATAGCGGATTACCTGCTTGACAATTTACGAAGAGGCTCTGTGGTTCTTTGTGCCACATGTATGATGGGATGGCAGAAGTGGATAATCAGCTTTATACAGAGAAAGAAGTCCTTCTCAAGTCAGCCAATCTCTGGTTCCTGTTGTAGGACCAAAGACGGTTGGCACAGTTGATTGTGCAGTATTTTCTCTTTAATACCTTCACTGGCCAGGCCAGCATTTATTGACCATCCTCAACTGCCCTTGAGTAGCTGGCTAGTGGCAAGTTGCTTTTTAAATTGCAGCAGTACACGTGGTGTGGGAACATGCATAGTGCTGTTAGAAAAGGAATTCCAGAATTTGAGCTCCATGGCACTGAAGGGATGGTGATATAGTTCTAAGTTAGGATAGTGCGACGTATGGCTTGGAGTGAAATTTGCAGGTGGTGTGCCTATGCATCTGTTGTCCTTACCCTTCTAGATGGTGGAGATTGTGGGTTTGAAAGATACTGTTGAAGGAGGAAATTGTCGCAATTCCTCTTGTAGATGGTATACACTGGTGCCACTGTGTAACAATGGCGGAGGGAATGAATGTTGAAGATGGTGGATGGATACGAATCAAGCAAGCTGCTTTGTTCTGGACAGCACTGAACTATGTTCATCCAGGAAAGTGGACAGTACTTCGTTGCACTCTTAGTTTGTTCCTCATGAATGGTGGACAGGCTTTCAGGTGTCAGGAGGCAAGTTATTCACTAGAGAGTTTCCAGTCACAGGTGTGTTCTTGTCAACACAATATTTACATGATTGATTCTGATGAATTGTAATCCCTAGACCCACATAATAATGGGGCTTTAGCAATGATAATACAATTATATACCAAGAGAAGACAGCTAGATTCCATCACATCGGAGATGGTCATTGGCTGAAACTTGTGTGCGATAAGTATTACTTACCACTTATCAACTCAAGCCAGGATGTTGTTCAGGTCTTGATATACATTAACCTGACTGCTTCAATATCTAAGGAGTCACAAAAATGGTGGTGAACATTGTTTGCTGATAACTGCACATCTGCACTACTCACTTCATGATGAAAGGAAGACCATTGATGAAGCAGCTGGAGATGATTCGGAATGACACAGCCTAGAGGACCCTGCAGTGATATTCCGGGACTGGAATGTTTGATCTTCACCAATCACAATCAATGAATATTCACAACTATTTTTCTCCTTTGTGATAAGTATGAATAACTCCAACCAGTTTTCTCCAATTCCTACTGACTACAGTTTTGCAAAGGTTCCTTGATGCCATACCTGGGCAACTATCTGCATTCCCAGGTAGATGCCAGTGCTGTAGCTGTATTGGAACAACTTGGGTTATTTGCCTAAGGGTAGAACAACCTCTGCAGCATAAGTTAGCAGTACTACTGATGGAAAGTTGTCAAGGCCTTTGCAGTGTCCATTGCCTTCACCCATTTCTTGATATCACATGCAGCAAATCAAATTGACCAAAGACTGGCTTCTATGTTGCTAGTGCCTCAGGACTATCCATCTCCGTAGATAGCCGTTTCATTCTGTCAATGCTGCTTGGCATGAAAGTACATCTGTGTTGTAGCTTCACCAGGCTGATACATCAGTTTTAAATATGCCTAGTGCTGCTCCTGAAATTGCAAGTTTGGTCCTCTGGCTTGATGATAGTGGGAGAGTGGGGGATATGCCAGGCAGTAAGGTTACAGATTACGGATGTACATAATTCTGCAGCACAGCACTTTATGGACATCCAGTTTTGAGGAGCTAGATAGATCTATTTTAGCTAAACCCAAAATCGTTACCTTTTAGCATTGGGCAATGCCATATAACACAAAGGAGAGTATCCCTCAATGTGAAAGGGGACTTCATCTCTAGACTGTGCATTGGTTGCTGTTGCCCACACTATCAAGGATAGATGCACATGCAGCAGGTAGATTGGTGAGAATAAGGCGAAGTAAGATTTTCCTTCTTGTTGGTTTCTTCACCACCTGCCTTGGGCCCAGTTAAGCAGGTATGTCCTTTGGGCCCAGCCACTCACTCAGCAGTGGTGACACAAAGCTATTCTTGCTGAAAGACATCTGATGAAATCCCAACATTCAGACTACATTCTGTGTCCTTGTCACCCTCAGTGCTTCTTCCAATTAGTGTTCAACATGGAAGAGCACTGACTCATCAGCAAAGCGAAGGGGGGTTGGAGGCCAGTATTGATCAGCAGGTATCCTTGCCCATGTCTGACCTATTGCCATCAGATTTCATAGGGAACACCCTCTCCCAAAAAATGTGCTGCCACCTTTGATGGGTCAGTCCCGCCAGCAGGATAGGACATTTTTATCGATGGTGGCACTGGGGATTGCATTCCTTTTTAATGGAAATTCCACCAGTTATCACGTCTCACTGTTGTTGGCATATTGGTATATGGGAT